CATCTTTAGTAAATTCAATGATATATGGTAATTTACTACCTTGCGAAATCTCGCCCGGGCTATATAACAAAAAAAAACTAATTTCTTCCTGTTGTTACTACTCCATATAGATAGTCGAAGTCATCATAATCCCTGAAAGTATCACTTGCTTTTCATTTTTTCTTGTTCGTTTCGTATAAACTCTCAAGCTGGCAGATGTTTTGGGCCATACCCATGGGTATCTGGTGCTGTTTATCCTCTGTAATACAAATTAAGTCCTCAGCATCCTGTAATGAAAAATACAGTCATCACATTCTCTTAGAAAATCGAAGTATAATAAAGAACAAAACTTACCTTAATCGCGTAATCCACTCACCCAGTACTTTTGTTTCCAACAATTTCATACTGAGGCCTCATACTAAATTTTTTTTGCGTATCGTCTCTAGCAATATTGAGAGCAGTATGAAGAATTGCCACGACATATTCATTACGCATGGCTTCTAAACTATCCACAGCCAATGACCTATAATTTTTTAGCCTAACCATAATTTCTGCCATGCAATGTGCGAAATGCTTATCAGAATTTTGAATCTCGCAGATTACTTTAGCTGGGAAGAGATAATATTAAACTATTCTCACAAATAATAGTGTATACAGGTTTCGACAACAGACTTACCTATTTTGAACAGTGGAATTGATTCAGTACCATCACTATCTAGTCCAAATTTTCTCAACACTTCTTTAAGACTTTTGTATAATGAATACGCTCTTAACTTTCGTTTACTAAGGTTCTTAGCGAAGTCCGCCAGATTTAACACCGGCCCACCTGGCATTCCATAATCATGAAGCTCTTCTTTGGTAATCTTTAGAAAAGCACGGCCATTAATTTTTTTTTTGCTAATGATTTATAAGTCATCCTCATCAAGATTCAGGTCTTCTTCTTTCCATAAGAAATCGATGAGTTCTTTTGTTTTCTACCTTTTAATCACATGAGCCAATGTGGGTGAGTCCTCTGTTGCCGTAGTAGAGGTAGAAATGGAAGATATCTCGGACATAATATTTATAGAATAAAAATAGTGTTACACTCTGGAGCAAAAAGAATTTTAGTGTTAGTATATTGTGAAAAGTGTATTTATTTATGAAAATTTTTAATGTTGTACAGACCTGTCATATGTTCAACCACCCTAGCATCCCCAACCTAAAAAATTTCACAATTGGGCCGAATTAAAATTTAAGATCAGGTGTAACATAAA